TTTTCCTATATGGCAGTGGATCCTGAACAATTTCATCACAGATAAAGAGGAGATTTTAGACAGAAGAATGCTGAGAAAAGCTAAAAGAGTGTTCATTTTATTTAAAATTAGAATCAGAAAGAAAGAGTTGAACTCCTTGAACACGTAATGAGAAGAGAGAGCTTGGAAAACCTGATACTCACAGGACATACTGAAGAAAAAAAAAAGACCGAGAAAATGAACAACTTAACTAACGAGCTTGTGTAAATGGATGGAAGGCGAGTGAGTGCGAAGGATAGTAAACATTCTAAGCATTTATAAGAGTTGCAAAGGATAGGATGTTGTGGAGAGGCATGATTGCTCGCATCCTGAAAGAACAGAGCACATAGGCAAAGATGAGGCTTAGTTTAAATTGTAGTCCTACAATTGAACGTGTTTTTATTAGTGATGATATTCACTAATTATCCTTTTATAATAATTATAATTTATTTTGGATGTATCTAAATGCTCATTCGAACGGAAGAATTACGCGTACTTAAGATTATTAAAAAAAAACCCTGCAGAGTGTCCTTCGCTACTACACTTCTGTGACCCCCCCCAGGCATTAGGGTTGGAAGTAAAGCACAAAAAAGGTAATTATGAATGTTCATTTCTTTAATAGAACATTGAAGTCAAATGGGAGAAGTATTCGATTGATGATTATACACTTTCTGCTATAAATAATAAAAGCGTCATATAATATACATAGATAAATATGCGTGGTTGTGATTACAAAACGGTAAAGAACTAAATGTATATTATTTGTATAAACTTTAGCTGCGTCAATTTGCATCATGCACTGTTTTTGCCAACAAAATTCACTGTGCATTATATATATTGTTGTGTTAGGATCCACCTAATTTGCATAGTGGAGTACCGACCATATAAATATGGTTGGTACCGGGAAGAGAGGAAGGAATCAAGAGATTCAACCAGAGACTCTGCCCGACTGCGACTCAGTCAACACATTCTCCAGGAACGGTCTTACCAGCAATATACAAAAGACTATATGTAAATATTGTGTACACTTTCTTGTTTCAATACATTTTGTTCTAAGTACCTTTTGGGTTGCATTATTATTCCATGCATTAGTCAAGTTTCAAATATATATATATATATATATATATATATATATATATATATATATATATATATATATATATATATATATATACTTATTGCAAAATAAAAGCATGATGTGATATAGAGGACGTAAATCCTCAGCTAACATACTTTTTCCTTTTTATTTTATATATATATTCGTGTGTGTGTGTTTATAAATATAAAAGTGAACATTGAAGTCAACACTTAGAGGCGGCAGATTGTTTCAAATTGGACACAATCAGCGGCCTGACGATTGCGTCTAGCATGAAACTGACTGTCGCATCTAAGTGTTGACTTCAATATTCACTTTTATATTTACACAGGCTCTATCTCTAATACTGAGCACTTTATCCCATAAATATAGCACACCGTAAGAGTATATTTGCTCATATATATATATATATATATATATATATATATAGTTCGACCCCTAAATCTATCCTGCCATGATTGTTACTATTTCTTTCTTTATTTCAGTATATTTATTCTATCTCCTCACATACCAAAAATGATTATAAATACTCGCCCTAAAGTCGAGTATATAAGGTAAACAGTACATACAAAACAAAGTAATAAGGTTTACTTATTGTCCTCCTCTTTTACAAATCTGTTTAATCTAAATATTTCATTTTGGAATATTTTACTTTTTAATTTTGCTAATAAAAATCCAAAAATAATAAAGATCTCTATCGATTTGCTTTTATTTCCAAACTGATTGGACGGTTGGTCTTTGTCTTTAAAGCAAAAACGAACTTTTTGCCGTAAAAGCTGAATCCGTGATAATTCGATGATTATGCAACTATACGATATTTCAAACAAATAAAAAGAATAGGAAGATGTTCGCCCACATCTCGATGAGACACGGGACATAGAAGAAGAAGAAGAAGAAGAAGAAGAAGAGCAACAATATTGAATTGCTTTGTGGTTGTGAATTATCGAGTTATTCACAATATGAAAAAGGCATTGTCTGACAAGGTTATTGTGCGTAATCTATGCATAAATTTATTAAAATATTTCAAAAATTTAAATAATTTCGAAGTATCACAATATATACCTGGTTCCGCTTATACATTGACCCTTTATTCATTTTATAATGAAATGAAAAATTAGGTTTTGGTTAGTGAATGTTTACAGCCTGTTAATGATTGTTGTAATTATTGACAATATAGTGCATATTTTAAAATTCAAAATGGCCACCATTTAGCCTCAATATAGATCTCATCTGAGCTGAAGTGCTTTACTTCTTTCCCACATCTTCGATAAAATTGTCTTGAACATGATCATGATTCTTGTAACTCATCAGAATTGTAGGGATACCGCAGTAGAAGTGGCGTATCTTGGGAAAGATAGTCTGACGGTGTCCAAACAGACTGGTTTGAATAGTGAGTTTTCCTTCCCCAAGACATTGGTTACTACCCAAAGATATAGAACCCTGTCAGTCCTGCTATTTACCCATAGCTGGGGGTAGAAATGATGAATTCATACCTTTCCCAAGGATATTAGCACGTAAATGAAAGTAATGGACTCAACTGGAATTCGAACTCGGTTCTTCGATTTCTTAATCCTAGCCGCAATCTATTAATCCAGGTTTACTCATCAAATAATAAAACGATTTTCTTTCAGGTCTGGCGCCATTGATTATACGTGGAAATATCGTTCTACAAAATACCGTATAGCAAAACTTATTTAATTTTTGATTTAATTTCAGTGCTTGATGGAGGTCAAATTGACTCATCAAGATATACACGGGAACGCCTTTTGTTCCAGTTCTTCGTCAAACTGATAATTGTGTAAAGACTCGAGCTTAAGTGAAGGGATGAGGAAATAAATGTGAATAGCAGTTTACTAGCAGATGTTGAAGGGAGATGTATTGCTCTGGTGTTAGTCACATTTGGCAGTCATAGCGGCTTCCAAATTTACGTTCATTTCTTCTTCAATGAACACCAAACGCCAATTTCAATCCCGAAGCAACAGCAGCCCCAACGAAGGCACTGATTTTTTTTCTGTCACTTGGACTGTATTCTGACGTATTTCGTAGTGATTAATGGTGAAGTGGGTGGCGTAAACCTTATCGTTTTTGTAAGCAACCACAGCCTCCAGAGTGGAAATATTTTCGTCAGAACAAGCAACAACTTCCTCTGAGGCACGCTGCATCTCTTCCAACATTTTGTTTCCTGTGGAAGCACTTGAGAGCAACTCTCGTCGTTGAATATTGTATGGTTTTAGCCTTAAATACTCTTTCACCCTTTCGTCATCTTCCTCATCTTTCATTTCACTCTATTCTTGACTACTTCAATGATTCCCTTGGTACGAATTGAAAGCTTTCTCCCTTAAATTTAGTGGGATTGCTTGCTCATCTTGAAATTTGTCTACACATTAAAACAGTTTTTTTTCGCAATATTTTCAAAGCTTTTTATTACTTCACAATTATTCATACTAGCTATTTTGAACTGGTCAATTTGATCACCTTTTGTTTGATTTGCCATATTTAATTAAAGAAGAAAAATTTAAAAAAAAAATAATGTTAGGAAGATTTATCAAAGGGTATATTTCAATTTATGTTTAAGTAATTGGTAAATAATTATGTCATCTATACATGTTTTCGTAACACTGAATCATTTCGTTTACTTTCTTTGAAGAATGAGACGCATCGGTACTATTTTTCCATTGTCTATTTTGTTCAATTTGTCTTCTCTACAGATATATTATGAGAACTTTCACACATTGTCGACAAGGAAAACAAAAACACACACAGTTCCAAAAATGGAAGAAAAAAGTTACTAATATACAAAAAGAGGCTTACACAAGAGCGCCTTTGAACATTTTTGAATTTTGTGTAACTATACAACATTTCGTTTTTTTTATCATCAGTTACCCTGATAAAGTCGAATGACGAAACGCGTCGGCATGGACTAAGTATTATTTTCCGATTGTCCATTTTATTCAGTTTGTCATCTCTACAGATTTATTCTGAGAACTTTCGCCCCCACACATATATATATGTGTGTGTGTGTGTGTGTGAGTGAGTGTACAATAATATAGTTAAAACTTTATTTAGCTTGTTGACAGTGGGTGTTAGCTATGAACAGTGGATGATCTCAATCAGTCATATGCTTAATAACCGGTCTTCTCATATATTGATAAGAAGACGAGCGACTCTTTTTGTCTTGAGAATGTTATTGAAACATAAAACCGGCTGTCGCCATACATACTATATATATCCGCAGCTTCGCACTGACGAAACTTGTCAATCCTCTTGCTCTTCTTTCGCTATTTGCATGGCAAATGTTCTGACGGGCATTATTCCTTAGATCCACCAGTACTGACTGTAGCAGCTAAAACCCACCATGCCACGTGCACGGGGACGAATTATCTTCATTTCCCTTGTATTCCATTTGTAAGAAAGAAGTTCCTCTCAAACCGCTTCTAGCTAATAACTACTATTCCTAAAATAGTGATTTTCTTTATCACGGCAATTGTAGCCTATTCAAATCTAGGGTAAAATGTTTTCTATCCTACATAATCTCATAAGCTGCACTGTTTACCTTAATCTTCTTACGTTCATAAAAAATCATGCAGTAATCCTCTATCTTGAGTGGCTCTTTTACCGTATGCTTAATATCCTGAATAGAGGCGTTTGTAGATCTAAAGTGATTTAAAGTTATCGCGACTCCAAGGCTGTCGTAATACAAAGCTGTGATTCGAACTAGGGTCGGAAGATTTGGCTATAATTTGGGTCCCCTCGCTTGCAGTATGATGATTTGGGGATTCCGATATAAGGCAAAAGAAAGACAATGAAATACTCGTAAAAATATTTGCAAGTAATTCGTACACTGTTTCAGTTAAATGAGTAAGATCACGTAAAATATAATTCAGGCTTACGGCCGCATCACGATGAAACACCAGTTCCCATACGATCACCGAAGTTAAGCAACGTCGAGCCTGGTCAGTAACTAGATGGGTGACCGCTTCAGGATAACAGGTGTTGTAAGCTTGGGTGTTCGGTTAATGCCGCTTCTAAACCTCGAAGGACACACACAAAGGGACAGATAGATAGATAGATAGTTAGAGAGAGGAACATAAGCAGCTTATGTCACTCCTTTTCCTTTTATAGTCCTGAATAGAACACCACCTAACGACGTTAAGTAAAGTATATTGTTATACAAGTTGGGGTGATCCCCCATAAGAGATCGATTATTATGTGTAGTCTTCTATAAAAATTGTAAGCACACTGTAATAGTTAGGTGATTCAGAGATCCTGTTTATCTACATCCCCGAAAAACTTGAATTTTGAACGACCTTTATAGTTATCGTATTATGATAATTAAAAGAAATAATAATTGAGACGTTTATTTGATTAATTATAGCTCAGGATTTATTAATTTATTAATTAGAGAGACTAGTTCCATTTACTGGTGGGATCGTTATTTTCACTTACGCGCAACAACCCGAGGTGAATTCATGAATCCACCTCTTTTCTCCTCTAGCTATGGGTTAATTACTATGACTTCTATTACTAAACCGTTATTATCTTCAACAAAATAACAATTATTACAATTTAAAGTGTTTTCTGTCTTTAAATAATCTGTCGATAAGCCGTAAAAAACAAATCATTTAATGCACTTCCGCACTAGTACTCTTGAGAAAGACGCAAATCCCTCTAATCTGACCTTAGCTCTGAATAGCAGTGTAGGCAACGCTTTCAAGCTATGATTGGTAACCAGTCTGATATAAGGGGAAATCAGAACCAAACTCATTGAGTATACAATGAGAAGCCATTGCAGTATATTCCCCAAGAATGCATGGTAATTCGCATATGATGAAGGAAACTTAAGGTCCATAATCGCCTACGTCTTAAAGGGACATGGCATTTACAAAAATACTACGATGTGTAAACGATATTATTGACAGCGTTCCAGAATATATAGTATGAGAAATATATGATAATTTTGCTTTTGACTTTTGTGATTAAGGATTGTCAATATGCTTTGATGTTTTTTTAAATTATTTCACCCCAGGGAAAGCGACAAAGCCACGAAGACTCGGAGGTTACTGAGTGTGAAAGAATATAAAAAGAAAAACACAAGTAGCGAGAACAATAAAAGAACATGAATTAAGAAAACAGAAGATAACGACTGTCATTTTATTTAAATTTTTGAAGATCAAAATTGACTGTAAATCAAGAAGCCAGCAGTGTTCCACAAGCGAGGAATGGAAAGTAAGTGTTAGCATAGAAGTTATGGTTCCATCTAATTATTTCAGCTGTAAAATTACACGATTCTAGTTACCATATAGGTAAGCGTATCAGAACTATTACTATGAAACTATTTATAGAAAAGGCACGAGGAAGCTGCATTGCAGTAGGGAGGGGGGGAGTGGCCGAAACCGAGATGCCAGGTCAGGATCAGTGATATTGCAAATTCTTCTTTCGATTTTATCACAAATTTCTAGATATATAGCCGGAGCTCCAGACCGGATGGGACAGCAACATTTAAATAATGGAAGAATGGTAAACTTATCAATAGGAAAGACATATAAGAGCGAGACAAATTGTCTAGCGTGACACTGGGAAGAGACACTTTCATCAGCAGACACAGCAATTTATTCAATATAATTTTTTCCCTTCATGTCAGAGAAAAAACATACAAACACATGCCCTCGCCTTATACAGAGGTTAACACCAAAATGATTCAAATCGAATAAAAGCAAAATTTTCCATATATTATATTAAGCTTTAAACCGTGGTAACTTAGAAATTGTCAAATATATCTTATTGGAATTCTCCGAGGCTTTTATAACACTATTGGTCTCTACTTTTAGCAATAAGAATATATAATTATTCTCCAACCTTAACAGAAGAATCGGGATGATATCGATCATAAACGAAAATGACATGTTCAGCATTAATTAAACATAGCCAAGGATCAGAAGCTCCTGATGGACTGAAACGATATATATATATATATATATATATATATATATATATATATATATATATATATGTAAGCAAATATATGGATATAAATCCGACAGTATGAAGAAAATATATACGAAAAAACAAACAAAAATCCTTATATACAATTATGCTGTTTTAATGTTAATATGTCAACGTCGGACGTTTCGGTCTAATAAACCATCTTCAGGACATATTCATAAATTATAACATTATCAATACAACATGACAAAGACGATGTACATAAGAACAAGACTTATCCAAACAGAATAACTGTTCTTATGTACATGTTAGATGAACAACTCATTAAAACAGAAATATTGTTAAATGTCTTCTCAAAAAACATAGAAAAAAGAAACCCAATAAGGTTAGAGGATTTTTAGATATTAAATATTATCTGAGATGGACAATTATATGGTTCCACGATTTAGCCATTTTTGCTGTTTACACCCGGTAGATATTGTTATTGACAAAACAAGTAGTTTAGTTTGATAAAATATATTTTGACGGACAGGTGCTATAGCTTCTTAATGGGCAAGGTTGTTGTTTTTCAAAAGAAATGTAATTTAACACGCGGAGGAATTTTAAGATGATTTTTTGCTCTCACCATAACCTTCTAAATTATTTACGTGTGACCTAATAAGAGACAAAAAAAAAACACGTTGCCTCACATGTTTCAGCCTGTCCGGGGAACGATACGAAAGGGGAAAGTGTTTTCAGTCCCTAGGAGTTCACTACTATTAGATGATAGATGATAGATAGATAGATAGGGTGATTGAGAGAGACTGGAAGAGAGAGAGAGAGTTAAAGAGAGAGAAAAACGTAAATAAGGGTTGAGTTGGACTTCTTATTCTAATTGATCTCTTTATTGTTATAAAATGTTGAAATAAAAAGACGTTGTGGTCATTTATAAAACCTCTAAGTTGTAACCTCCTGATTTAGTTTTGAATTTCCAATGTTTTATAATTTTTTACGATGATAATTAAATGAAATGATGATTTGATCTTGATTGCTTAATTGATCCATGAAGAAATGGAACCGACAAGTTTGTATTGAATGTCATTGTATAAATATACAAAAAAAGTAAAAACAAAATAAATATATTCCTGCATGGCATATGTTTACGAAGAAACGAAAGAAAAGATTAGTTTTCACCTCTTTAAATATGAAAAGAGTTTTATATATATATTAAAACGTTCTATTATCGTTTTGTACTTGTTTTCTGAAACTAATGAAAAACTCAAAAGCCGTCTTTGAAATAAAGTGATTCTCACTGAAAATACTAAATATAGATTGTTAACATTTTTTTGAAAAAAACATAGCTCACACAAAAAGAAACCCAATAAGGTTAGATATATATACATATATATTTATATATATATATATATAATATTTTTATCATGAATCATTCATACAAAAAACAAAGATGGTTAATTATTTAAATGGTTCCAAACAATATTTAGCCACCCCGAACCTTTTGAATGATTTACACTTCTTCTCGGTAATAAGAGGGTATGATATTGTTATTGTTTGACAAAACTGAGTTTGTATTTAAAGTTGTGCATTTTGTACAAAGTTTAATAAAATATATTTTGACGGACAGGTGCTATATTGTTCAATAATTATAGTAATGTCACACTTAATGGGCAAGGTTACATTGGATCATTTTTTTTTTCAAAAGAAATTATAATTTTAAATTCACGCGGAGGAATTTATATATATATGATTATATATATAAAATGAGAAAACACGGTTGGCCAAATCTCACACCATGTATTGTTTCGTGGAAATTGTATTTACGTGTGATATTACAGCTCTTACCTTTATTTAATAAGAGACAGAAAAAACTTTACATCTTTTGCATCTCAATGCGCCTTTATTTGCTTTAGATTCCATTCCTCTGTTTAAGAAAATATATCATTCGTGTAATTTGAAATTTGGGCATATAATGAAATTAATAAGTCGGACACACACACACAGACAGACAGGGGAATATCTACCCTGGAATTGGAACTCAGGATTAACAATTCCATTACACCAAACACATCAGGCTTGTGGTATTCCAAAACTGTCACCTTTACAGCCAATCCAGGCCAGACGTTGCTTATCTTCGGTGATTTTACTGGGGCCGAAGTGCGATTAACCGTTTCCTAATGTTAAAATATTCAACATTCATTGAGAGAATGGTTAGATAGATAGATAGATAGTAGCTAGGGAAGAACAGGTGGATTCTTACCCTTTTTAAGAATATTTTGAGAATACAACAAAGACTGAATTGAAAGAGGAGTTATCCATTATACCAACTGCATAGAGAGAGATAAAGATCTTGGTACTGATCCGGCTCGACGTTGCCTAAATTCGGTGATCGTACCGGAACCGATGTTTCAACGTGATATGGCCGTATGCCATTTATACGACCGCATTTACAAACATTCACCATTCATTGAAAGAACGGTGCAGAAACAGGAAAATATTCGTTAGACATAAAGGGATGAGTACAGAACGCTTATGTAATATCAGTTTACGTATACATGACAGAGAATTGTAAACAATATCCTCACTGATATAGGTGACGTCCTATTCAGGACTATAAAAAGTACATTGTTATATATATATATATATATATATATATATATATATGAATGATTCATGAATTTATAAATTATAATTGCACCTTTTAATTGAAATTAAAATAAATGACCCAACGTACAACTTTCGGATAATAAGTGTGACATTACTGTAATTATTGAACAATATAGTTCATGCCACATTGACGAGAAATCTACCAGTAAAAAAGAATTCTCTTATTACTATATTTGTACAAAAACGCACAACCTCAAAACGGTTGCTGTCGGTTGAAATTTATAACGCCTTTCACGTCAAACATTTGTTTATTTTTTTTTTTCGAGAAAATAATCTCTGAATAATTGATTGACTTCTTTCTTTTTTGTTTGAATAATTGATTGATTTCTTTCTTTTTTACAACATCTGGTATTCTCAAGCGATCACCCATCTAGGTACTGATCAGGCTCGACGTTG